TAAATTTGTAAAATAAATTTTTTATATATCAATGTGAACTGATCGTACTTTCAATTTTTTTAAAAAATTTGATTCATATTTTTGAGTACAAGATTTTTTTTTGACCAATCAGCCAAGTTATCCATTTATTTTTAGTATAATGTTTCCTTCAACTTTAAAAATTGTGCAACATTATTCTTTTTGTTAACAAATTTAATTTTAACTATTATTGACTTAAAAAAATTATAAAAATTGACAAAAAAATGCACAGTAAAAGACTAAAAAATTACATATAAGGATAAAAAAAATACAAAAAAGGACTAAAAATTTTATTAGTGCTTTTGTTTTTGTAATTTTTGAAATCTTTTTTTATAATTTCTGATTAACTAAATGTCAAAGCTAACTTTTGTTGACAACAAGGATAAAATTGTATCATTTTTAAAAATTAAAATGAATAATATACTAAAAATAAATTTAGGATTCTAAATGGTTATTTGTTCTTTTACCCTTTTTAAAATATAATTAAATTTTGGAGTTATTTATAGTTTTCAATTTTTAATATATACATATATAATAAAATTTAGAATTTAGGATAAAATATGCTATCGAGTTCTTAAAATGCAAATATTTACTGCATTTTAGATACAATTACTATTATTTTTAAAATTTTCAAATTAATATTTATTAAATATTTTATTTTATTTTTAGTTTTGCCAGTCTATTTGATTTAAGAAAAATGAGGGGGGGATTTAATGACTTTGATTTTTAAAAAATATAGAAGTGAGATTAAAAGTTTGTAATTTATTTTTCTTATTCTTTCATTTTGGATCTTCTTTCTATTAAAATTTATGATTCTAATTTTTTATTTTTAAAAATTTAATTAATTAGAATCTTATTTCTTTTCATTCTTCCCAAACTAAATAGAGGATTAAATTTCCCATGCCATGAACGGGTCTAAAATCTAGTCTTGTAGAATGAGAAGTGTGCTGCTTAGATGTTCCAACTCACATGTGTTAGCTAAAATATGACTTTTATTAGCTTATTAAATAGCATGTTTTGCAGACGGGTAGAAAATGCTTTTGCTTTATAATTGACATGGCGAAACAACACAAGGGAATGGGCCACCAATTGTTTGACCAGCAGCATAACATTGGTTAAGAGAAATTATGTCTTTATGTTTTTAACAGCATGGAATGGTAGAAGAAAAATGCAATCATGCTAATGCTTCTTTCCCTTGTATTTCTCATCAAAATTTATCGATGTCAAGTGCCATGTGCTATTCTTTTTCAACTTTCCAGCAATCATATCCAATTCTTCTCATGCTTGATAAGACTAAAAATCATTTAGCTAATTAAAAGATATATTCCCTCTATCCGTATTTTTATGTCATTGAACTATATCAAGAGGAACTTAGCAGCCCAATGAAAACGAAAGAGGAAGAGGGCGAGAAGCTTGAGTTCCTAAGTGCACATCATGGCAAGAAAGAAATTTCATTCGTGTGAGAGGAGAGAGGCAAGGATTCCTTTAAATAGATAAAATAAAAGAAAAACATACCTCTGAGTCCCTGTTTTTTATTCAAATTTTGTTATAAGTCTCTCTACTTTTATTTTTTAATATTTTTAATCCCTTTATGAATAGTGTTATAGGAATCTAGAACACTGAAAAAAAACAAAAGTATAAAGATTTATAACAAAACTCGAGTAAAGTACAAAGATATAAGATTATGCTTTCCCTAAAATAAATACGAGTGGATGGAGGAGAGATCAATCACATGAAAGACATCTATATGGAACTCAAAATTATTATCAGTTTAAAAAAAAATTGAAAAGATGGAGGAAGTTTTGAAATTTAAAAGAAGAAAGGAGTTTTTTCTGGAGCCAAAATTACAGCATGCATGTAACCCAAAATTAAGCCAACACTTTTCTTTGAGCCATGGCTCCATGAACAATGAATATAGCTCGATGAACAGTGAAACAAGTGAGGAGCCATGATCTGCCATTTTTCAGATTTGGCTTCAATTATTTTGATATATAAGATATATTGATTTACATCATACATATAGACATAGATTTCATGGTATAAAAACAAATTGAATATACAACAAAACCCATCCTTTTAACATGTTAAGTTGAAAAACAGATCTCTCCTCACCAGAATTCACTGCACATATACTTCAAAGTCTACTGATGGTAACACAATCTTTTTTTTTTGGTTGCTTTTGCTCCAATATCCTAGGTCTTTGATCTAGACTAATCTGGTTAGCAGCTCACAGGTATCTCTTTGGATGGCATACCTCCTTTTGAAAATGTAATCACTATTGTATATTCAAGGCTCAAACTCAAGACCTCTAATTAAGTTGGATTAATCCCCTAGTTAGTTGATCCAAGCACCCAGTGGTTAATAAGATATCTTTTTATGGAAGTCTAATCTGCTCGCTAGCTTATTTTGGCATTTATTTTGCACTTGGACTATGAGCAATAGATTCTCTTCCCTTTGTGCTCAAGGCACCTTTTCCTCCCTTTAACTGGTGGTCTTCTGCAAGGAGAGCCATCCTTCAAAATGATTCCACATATACCGGTAATTCTCTTGTCAAGAGAACTCTCAACTGCGATTTTTTCAGGATTTTTCACATCATCAGATTCTGATACAACATTTTGCAGAAATTGTGAATTTACAATTATTGCTGATTTATACATAGACACGTGGATCCTCTTCCCTTTGTGCTCATGACATCTCTTTCTCCCTCTAGCAGGTGGTCTTCTACAACAAGTGCCATCATTCAAAATGATTCCACACATAATAGCGATGTTTCCATCAAGAGGATCCTCAACTGCAATTATTGGAGGGTCTTTCACATCATGTTCTTCACCATAGCCTTCGCTCTTTTGTTGGAATTGTACATTGGGTTCAAGGCTCAGAAGATTCTCTGATTTCACTGTCCTTTTAGAAGTGGCCCCATTTATTCTCATTCCTTTGTGCTCTACACACCTCATTCTTCTTTCAGCTGGCGGTTTTCTACAAATAGAACCATCACTCAAGACCACTCCACAGAATCTTGTCGTAGTATTCTCCTCAATGATAGCAGGGACATCTTGAACTAACCTAGGATTTGATCTGCTAAATTTAAATACTCGAGATAAGAAATTATTGTTGCCTCTGTCTATTTCTTGTAATTCGCCATCTGGCAAAGGCATACTGCTTGATTTGATTCGGATACCCACTCGCTTCTGAGTGAAAGGTTGAAGAAACCTGGTCATGTTTGAAAATGTTGTCGGACCTAAAGCAACTTTATTGATCTTCTGAAGAATATCATCTGGGCGCCGGGTTCCATTATTACACGTGTTCCATGCATAATCAAATACACAGAGCAACTGACTTTCCGTTTTCCTGGCATCTTCTTTGTTTTGCATCTGGTCAACAAGAATTATCACAGAAGTGAAAAATACAAAATGTTAAACACATGGTCAGCAGATAACCTAAATTTCCATAGTATTCTCCATGCCAGTAATATTTGGTCTATTCAGCATTAATGTGTATTATGAAGGCACATGCATATCTACATTTCTTAAATCATCTTTGCTGGATTTGACAAAAAATGTAATACATCACAGCAAACATAGATTTCTTTGACATTATTTTTTCATTAATATTTTCCATAAGACTGATAAATATTGGGGGGGGGGGGTTCATCTATAAATAAAACAGAGCTTTTAAGTACAACCCTAAAATACAGCCAGAAAAGCTGCTAAGCTGATTACTATATCCAAAACAAACTTAAACACTGACATTACAACTATTATTAAAGAGAAATGAGCATGCAGATTAATTCTAAGTTCAACACAGGCAGAAAGCAATTTACTGACCAATGCCTTTACTGATTAACAAAATTGATATTTATGGAAAATGAGGTATGTGCATCAACAAAGAAAATGTCAAGTTGAAGCCAACTTGGTTTTATAAATTACAGCATGCACATGAAAAGAAAGATGTCACTGATATTTGCACTTACAGGAGCCCATCTATAGATAATTGCATAGCCTTCTGAAAATATTTCCTCAAAAAATCCCTGCCCTTTATGGATAGAAGCAGGATTGTTGTCATCTGGATCAGAAGTAAAGCAGGTATTGCTCAAATGAGCTCCGGTTCGGCCATACTGTTGGAGTCTTGTTCTCACATTGTCAGCCTTTCCAAGGTAAGCCACAACTATACGGTTAGGATGAAGCTTGTAAACGTTACGCCCTAAACCAATGCGAGACACAGCAATACCAAGCTCATAAACTCCTGGGCTCGATTTTTCTGGGAGGTTGTGAATTCTGTATCTAGCCGACCCTTCTTTCCCTCTAGAATAATCCTCCCAATCTGAAGGCCCAATGAGAATCTGAACGAAACATGTAGCATGAGCAATAAACCAAGAAAAAAAATTGCTTAGTTAATGAGAGAATTAACAGCATCCTCAGTCTCAACAGGAAATCAAATGAGAATTAGTTACCCTGTAATGCAAGAACTTTATTTTTGTCACAATTCAGAAGAACGAAATAGCCAAACACGACCAAAATCAACAAGACAAACCACTCAATCATCCAACCAGGAAGACAATCCTTATCAGTAACCGCCAAAGTCAACCCATCAGTAACCGCCAAAGTCAACCCTTCATAATCAGATTCTATAAATTTTTCCGAGACAAAAGCCATCACAGACACTTCAATAAAGCATATCCTTTACCCAAGTTCATTCCCAGAAGCGTATTTTTGAATCCGATTTTTCTCAATCTGAACCAGGAATCTTCAAATAATAAAAGAAGTCTCGGGAAATGGGAATCATATTTACTAGAACGAATTCATTAAATGCGGTTCTTGCATATACCGCAGAATTCGCAATTTAAAATCCAAGAATTCCACTTTTATACGAGCTACCACCGATTAAATTTCAAATTACTGATTTTTTGGGATAAATAGATAAGAAAATCATAATTGAATAAATCACACAGCAAGAAACACAAAAGGAGTAAAGTATTTTGGAACCTTCCAATCAGAGAAGTTGGAATCGTGCTTTGTTCGTTTGCATTCTTCCCTCTTCAACCTGGGAACGACTGAGGAGAAACCTCCGGCTACCATCACTGACTTGCGCTTCGTCGCCGTCGATGATATGACCGTTGCTCACGCATTTCATTGTTTAGATAACTCCCTCTACATGATACTATGCCTTTTCTTAATTAACCATTAAAAAGGGAATGAAAGGGCAAGACACAATAAAAATTTAATTTAAAGGCTCTGCGCATCATGCATGGGACATTAACCCCATATTTAAATTAAAGGGGATGAAAGGGTAGTTACAAAATAAAAATTTTAATGAATTTTTTTTAGGATAAATGATATAAAATTTTAAGAGAAGAAAGATGTAGGGGTAAAGAAGTAAAAAAATTAATTTAAAAATTTCAACATGATATTCTTAAATTTTTAAATCAGACTCATTAAAATCCTTTTCATTCCCGTCAAGCTAAACAATCTATAAAAACTAATAGTAGAAGTTAAATATTGAGAAAATGTTGTCCTTATAATTTTATAAAAATAATAATATTTAGACAATATGTGAAGATGTTTTCGTTGATGATAATTTTATAAAACAAAAAAGTGATAGTTTCTAAAGGTATGAAATAAAATTATATAACTAATTCACAAAAAACTTATAAAACTTAATTAGCATATTTTATTCCAAAATTTACAAAAAAATATATTATAGTTCAAAATTTAGTACTCACTTATATTAAAAATATAAAAACACTTATTTATTTTAGAATCTTTTATTCATATGGTAAAAATATAAATGATATCTTCTTTTATTTTGTTGTATTTCATCTTGTGCAATTTAAAATTTAGTCAAGATAACATGTCTAAAATTATTTAATAATATTTTTTATGAAAATGTTTTATATTTAACTTAAAAAATCCATTTAAAAATTTGCAAACCCACTTAACTCTGAAAAGAAAAAGTGCATAGAAAAAAGGAAGAAAAAATCACAGTCCCATGAAACAAATTTAACTATCAATCTCATAAAATACACAAAATATTTACAATTCTTAAATTTTGTATATTTACAACCGAGTAAAAAAACAATTATAACTGGACTATTCAAATTGTTTTTTCCTTTACCTAATTATAAATATTTTTGTCAAGTTGTAAATGTACATGATTTAAATTTGAAAGTATTTTGTGTATTTTATAGAATTTCTTAATGTGTGTTTAGTTTTCAATTTGCTAAAAGTTCATTTGATAAAAGTCAGTTTAGTGAAAGTTAATTATTACAATAAAATTTGTGTTTGGATACATTTTTTCAAATGTCAGTTTAGTACATTAAAAGTTGCTTAAATTATGATAGTGAAATATAATTTTAAATATATAATTATTAAAAAGGATATTGATTTATGATGATTTGTAATTTTTTATTATACTAATGTAATATATTTGAAATATTTAAAAAATGTGATGAAGATTTTACAGAACATAAAATTTGATCCATGATGCTAAAAACTTGATCCCTAATTATTTATACTTTTTTAATTTGTAATTTTAGAAAATGTGATAAAAATTTTTAATTTTTATTATACATTAATGCTAAAAATTAACATGATTAATTATTTAATTTATAATGCTAAAAAATTGATACTTAATTATTATTATTGAAATGATAATTATATTTTTAATAAAGTAGTTATTTTTTAAATAAAAGTATAAGAGATTAAATTTGTGATAGTATGATTAAATAACTTCTTATTTTTCAAAAACTTTGAATAGTCACATTTCTTAAATTTATTTTTAATTACTGTTTAAATATATTTTTTATAAAATATTTTACTTAAATAATTTTTAACATTTTAAAAATAAAATTTTACTTTTTAAATGAAAAACACAAACAAATCAAGCAAGCCCTTACTAGTTAAATTTGCTTTGTGGCAGCTACGCGGGATTTGTCCAAGAAGAAAAATGGGGATATTTTTCCATTTCAGTCCCTGGCCCACATAATTTTTATGACTTGGCTTTTTTTATCAAATGACAATCACTGCAGAACTCCAGCGATGTTCTGAAAGGCAATTACAAAGGAGAGAGATAGATAGCAAATGCATGTCTACAGTTCATACATCATTTTAACAAAATATGAAGTATGTACTCCCCCCAACCATAATTTACTACCTCCCGTTTATATACGAAAAAACTTATCACAAAAAAAAAAAAAAGCTACCACTTACTCCCTCTTGACCACAATAGAGTGTATCTTTTAAAAATTTTATTTGATCTTAAAATATAAGACATTAGATAATTTTTATAATTATTTTTCAATTATACTATGACTTTATTTATTACTTTTTTTGAAAAAAATGATGCATTGAAATTTTAATTATCATTACCGAAGCATTTATATAAAGTATTTAATAAAAGTAAAATTGAAAAGATGTACATTTTTTTAAAGAAATTAATGTTTTAACTAACATTCTTCATAAATCATGAATTAGTTACCAATATCTTATATTTTAGTTCAGAGGGAGAATTGTTTTGTTTTTATTTATAAGTAAAATCACATATTTCAATAAGTATTTAATATAAATTCTTAAACTACCTCTTATAAATTCATAATTTTCATTTACAAAAAATAATTAATGCAACCTTATTTTGATTAAATACAAGGGTATGTTAGTCTATTTTTTAATTTCTAAATATAATTATTATTGTTAACTAATTTTTTTAAATTGTATGATATATTTATTTTTTTTATATATAAAAACAAAAGGAGTATGTCGTTGGTAACTAATTCATGTTTTACAAATTAAAACCTTATTTTTCTAAAAATGTCCACATATGCATGATTTTTAAATATAAAGCATTTAAAAACAAGGAATAAAAAAATAAAAGTATAAATGGCAAAAAATAAAATTTATTTAATATCTTATATTTTAAAATAAAAATTATTTTTAGAATTAGATTATATTATATTATATGGAGGAGTAATATATAATATAAGGATTCTCTAACTAAACAAGGACTCACACATTGCTTGGATTACACTTGGTTTCCCAACCTCTTGAGGAGGCATATGCCCCCTCGCTTAGGAAAAATAACACAAATGGGTTATATATTTTTATATTTTGTAGTTTTCTCTCTCTTTTTCTTATACTTTGCATTCTTTATTTTAATATTTTAAACTTTAGACCCATTTTAATATTACATTTTGCCCAAATTTAAAATTTATTTTTTAATTTAAAGTTTAGTGAATATTAACCTATAATTTCACTAATCATTTGAAAAATAGAAGAAAAAATTTAATTTAATTAAATTATACTCACGAGAATACTAGTTAGAGGCTAGTCAACAAAAAAGGAAACAAATAACGAAGATTCAAAATTTAAGAATAAGCTCATTAAATGTCTTTTGCTAGTTCACTGCACTTGTAAGTTTATAATTCAAAGTTAAATTAAGAAATGAAGAGAAGGAGAAGAAGCAGAAGGAGAAGAAGTAGAAGAAGGAGGAGGAGGAGGAGGAGGAAGAGGAAGAGGAAGAGGAAGAGGAAGAAGAGGAGGAGGACGAAGAAGAAGAAGAGGAGGGATTTGAAAGATATAAAAAGATTTTTTTTATATCAAGATTTTGACTTTGTCCCTCTTAACTCAGGATCTTAAATCTTAACTCCACCATTGTTTCCCACTTATCTATTTCTCTTTGCTGACTTCTTCAATTAGATTGATCTTATTTGGATTGTAGAGGGTGACATAGATAGTTTCTCTATGCTTATAAAAGAAAATGTATCATATAAAATTTATGAATATGTAATACAAATAATTGTTAATTAATTTATGTTTTAAACAAAACTACTTAAAGTCTTGATTATTTTCTTAAATTTTTTATATCTTTTCAATTGTAATATTAAGTGAAATAAATATTATATTTGATTTATTCAAAACACATTTATTAACTAGATTTATTTCCTGTACAATGTACGGGAATATTTTAAAATTTGAAAAATAAAAACATGAAGAATTTAAAAGTAATTTATTTATTTTTTAAGATTTATTTTAATATACTTATAATTAATTGTCTTATGTAAATAACAATTTATTCTATTTTAAAAATTTTTTTGTCCATGCACATTAAATATATAAATAATAACTTATTTTTTATAATAATGTGTTGTCCCTGGGATGCTGACTAGCCTTATACTTGTGTCTTTTGTTTGATTAACATGAGGTGAAATTCTAAATCATGATTAAAAAAAAAAGGTAACTTTCTATCAAGTTATGCTTTTCATAATTAATTTAAAAAATTTTTGCCACACAGCAAATACCCCGATATCCATCACTTATTGCCCCCATATAAACTAAAATTTAACCATCAATTTTAATTTTGCAACGTGTTACTTTATGACAAATCATATATTGTTTTATAATTTGTTATTAGCTTTGTACTTGATACTATAATTTATTATCTCATCTACATATACACACACGAAATGCAAGTAACAAATTATAAGTCGTCATATCCATCCGTACCTTTTTTAAAATGCAAATAATAGGCCTTATATTATACCTATTTTTCTATGGATCTCATATTTACTACTCCCATATTTTTATTATAAATCATATACCTATTTTTATAATGGACCCCACATTTATTTTCTATATGTAAATATTTTTTAAAAATAAATAAAACATAATTTTACTATTTATCCAACTGTAGATGAACAGTAAAATAATGTACTTTATTATATAGTAAGATAATATTATTTGAATGTACTATACTCTAATAAAGCAAATGCAAAATTAAAAATGCATATACAAATGACATATAAAGGGGACAGGACTTTTAGAAAATATTCTATATCATAGTTAGAGGAGAGTATAACACAAATAAATATATTTATTTGTTTGTAAACAAACAAGGTTAAGCCCACACAAAACAAAGCAAAATTACACCTAAATAAATTTATTTTATTTTATTTTTGTAAATGAAAGTTTATATGAGTTGAGTTCTTGAGACTTATTAGAATTAAGGTATTTTTTTAGACTCAAAGAATGCTTTCATAATTACTTATAGATTGTTCACTAATAAGATCTTCACACCAACAACAGGATTTGAATTCATGACTTTGTGAGTTGTGGCTAAATCTTTGTCAACTTGGCCAATTTTTATTGTCTGAAATAAATTCATTTTACCCACCCTGCAAAA